GTGAGTGCCAATGAGACAACTCTCCTTCCAAGTCACAATTTGTAAAAGTAAACCATTATTTATAATTAATCTAAAAATATTTGATAATAAAAACTAATCAATAACTTTGTATTTACTTTTTGCAAATATTTTTTATTTATAAATTCATTTTCTCAATAAACCTCGCTTGTGTAATTAAAATTCTCATGCACAGAGAAGATTTTCTCATAGTTGGCATATACTGCACGAAATACAAAAACAAGTCAGCTAAATGATGGTTCATGGAATTCAAAATCAAATTAATAACTCGTATAAATCTGTCCGTAAATACGTTTTTATATAATATGAAGTTATCCTGGTCTTAAACTGCGATTGTATGAGACGATAGTGTTTATAACTATACTGAAGGCGACATGTCCAGTCTAATACATGTTGTCTTTTGTTACTGAAAAGCATATTATAAACTAACAAACTTTCGATTTCCAAGTTTGGTTTGGTTCGGGGAACACGAATGCTAACCATCCACTTTATTGCCCTTTCTTGTTTGTAAATCTTTGCTAAATGATAAAGCGTTATCTTGTTAAAATCATAGAAATTCAACTTATTTGAACCAAACAACAAGGTGCAGTTCTTCAGGAAACTTATAACAACCTTGGCTGCTGCTAAAAGTACTAAACTAAGATGTGTTCATTGTCTTTACACCAAAGAGCTGCAATTTGTTCGCGTCTTGATGGCTTCGATGTATATACATTTTCTAATTAAAAAAACTCGGCTGTTCCATCATATTGCAGATCGCTACTATTATCAATAATCAATTCTTCAGTTCTGTTCTCCGAAACAAATTGTAGTAATTGAAATGGAAAGCAAAGGTATGACATCATTTTCTAGAAAAGGAGCTTTATCAATTAAAATTTGTAAAGTTGATTGTCCATGACTAGACACATGTAATAATTTCATTACTTTGTGCATTAAGAATTGTGTTCCTAGCAAATTTTCTCCTATGACAGCTCTGTGAAGCAAATTATATCCATCCGTATTAAAACACGTGTCTTATATTTTTCTGGAGTAGTCCTTCAAATATTTGTTTAGAATTTAAGATGATTGTAATATATTGACTCTGTATTTCGATCATTCATTATGATCTCATGAAGAGGACTAAACCTGCCAGCACATTGGAGAGAATTATCTTTCATTCTGCAATAAATGGCCCCTCATATTCTGTAATGAAGTGCAGCAATGGTGAATTGCACTGCACAACATGTTGGAATTGTTGTTTAGCGTAACTTTAATAATTAAAATTTGGTAAATCCTATATTCCTTGATTGCTATCGTAAGCCAGTCTGATGCATTAAATTTTGAAAATCCTTCAAATTTATGCAGATACGACAGTGTTTGCAGTAACGACATCTCGTGGTTTGTCAACATAGTTTCAAATTTTGTCAGACATTATGTGTAGAACACATCTGTTATATAATATCGTTTATGAATTCGTATATGATCAAAGGACTCCCGTGTATGGATTGCCTGAAATATTTTGATAACTTGCGTCTTTTCATTTGTGTTCTTTTGAGTCAAAGGACTAATAACATCATGCCTAAATAAAGTATGAAATGCATTAAGAAATCCAAAATAATTCCGCTTTCAGCAGCGAAGTGTTGAACATTTCATTATCAGTATGGAAAATGTTATGCCTTGAATAGAGACAAACCTTAAACATTGTCCTTATACGCAAATTCTCTGTATCACCGGCATGCAGATCATCATTATTTTGCCTCAATGGAAGTATCATGGCGTAATGTAAAATGCTTCTACGTCTATAATTGAGACAATCAGGAACACTAAGACGAAATCTGTCGTTTCTGTTGTGAAAGAAGTACAATGTAAGTGACCGGTATATTGCTGCAGAGTGAAATACACTGGTACCGTTAATAGGTTCAGCATAAAAATTGAAAATTGAAAATTAAAAAATGAGAAATATGAAAAAACGTTAAAATGGCAAAACGCATAATGAAGTGGAATTGCTTGATCAGCACTTCGTTGTTCCCAGTCTCAAAATCTATTATTATACATGAATTACCTGATATCATAATTACCTTTGCTATGATGTGAGCGACAGTTACGTTAGCTCTAATCATGACATAGTTAAATTGTGCAAATACAATGTACATATATTTTTTGCGGTTATACTCCATTTCATTACCCAGGAGACTGGTTCATTGTGTTAACTGCATTTATTGCAGCAACAGCAATACATTCAAGTAACAGTTCCGTCGTATGTTAATCATTATATTTCCATACAATTTGGTAGAGAAACTCTATGTGTTACCTTTTATCCCTACTCAATAAATCTCTGACGTACCCAGACAACATAGATTCGTATTTGGTATTGTTGCTCATTGCAACATGATATATGAGCTCTATCAAATTATTTTTTGAAGGCAAATTCATTTCCAATTGTCCTATCAAATATTCGGAGAACAACTTGTGACCATTTTCTCTATGAACAAAAAATTACAATGTGTTTCTCCTTTTATCGGTTTAAAGTCAACGATAGATTTGTGTAAAAACGACATTTTCCCATCATAGATTTGAGTAAATGTCCCAATTCATTTCCAAGTAACGTTTCCAGTTTTCTCCCTTTTGATGTTTGCATCCAATTGTGATACTTCTATAAGCTGAGTCTTATCGAAAGGATTTTTTTGAATTGTGCATAAAACTTCAAACACAGGTAAAAAATCATTAAATAAGTTTCCAGAATCTTTCAAAATTCGTATGAAATTTATTTGGTATAACAGCGCAAGAGACTTTGGTACATTTCAAAGTCAAATGTATCTGTTTTCTTGCAGTACTGTAGTACTAATAGTTTAACATGAATAAAATATCCATTGACAGCTTTTGTAAGTGTTGAGATCCGAGGTTCAAGGTTCAGTAAACTGACTACATTGTTTTACGGACGTATTGCTTTACATCATTCAATCCAAAATAATCCGATTTATTCAAAAACACATGCTCTACCGTTTTAACTAGGAACTTCAGTTTGTCTCAATGAAGACAGGAATGAATTTAAAATTAGAGGGAAATCTTTGATTTGAGTCAAAAGAAAATGAAGCAAAGTGTTTCCACCGACAGGCTCACATTCACCTAAAGCATCAATAAGGATTGTGAATTTCTGATTGATAAATTCATATAGACATTTCAAAACAGATATCTGGTCTTTATATATAGCATCGCGTTTCGTTTATAATATCAGAAGCAACATCATCAGCTAGGATGGCATTTACCATTTCAGGATAGAGTTTGAAAATTGCATTTGCAAAATTTCGAATGAATGTGCCTGCACTCAAGGTCATGTCCATATCATATCTACAAAAATGTTAGCTAAAAATTTTTTTCCGAAAGTCATACCACACCGATGACCTATCGGCACACACTATATTTGATATAATGGAGGACTTCTCATATCCGGTATGTGCTGTCAATAAAATTCCGTTTGCCTCGAGTACTTGTTTATTAAGAATATCCTTTAGCCAGCGTCTTTCTATTAATATTTCGTTTGGACATAGAAATCGAAGTACAATTCCCTTTTCCAGTGTTCTGAGAATCGCATACTATAACAAACTACATTTTATGGAACGCACATTAATAAAATGTGTTTGTATAAAGAAATTTTCAGTGGAATCCGTAAGCTGGTAACACATCAGAAATTTAATAAAAAATAATACCGGTTTCAATTAATGTCATTTTGAAATTTGAGTAAATATTTGTAGTCAAATTTCAACATTAGTTGCAGAACCCAAAAAGGCTATCATTGTCGCCTATTAAATAATTACTTCTTTTTAACCTATAGTATGATGTTAACAAATACAAGGGAGACAACTAATGTTAAATTTGACTAAAAAAAATTACACAAATTTACAAATGACATTTGTACTCCGATTTCTATGTCCAAACATTGAACAACAAAATCTTAATAGAAAGAAGCTGGCTAAAGGATATTCTTTATTTTTTTTAACTATGACGTTAATTTGTAATGAAAGAGGTGTAACTATGCCAACAATTAAGTTCCACTTAAGAAGACCGGCATGACCGGTCGAAAGCTCCGGATTATTTTAAAGAGTTTTTATTTACCTCAATTTGAGAGATTTGAATATATATATACGGATTACAAATGTGTCTAGTTTTATGATTGGATAACAATATAGAGATGTCAGTAGATATTCCGGGAACTGCCATGGCATACAGGACGTGTTAAACCCTAATTGGATCCTCAATAACGTCATCATAATGAACGTTACTATGTGACGTAGTCTAAATCTATATAATACAGTAAAAGAATGTCGGATGCTCACAAAGGATAAATAATGAGGAGTATCCGTCAATAATACGTTTTGTAATTTATCATCGCGCAACTTACACACCAAATACTAAATTAATGGCTAAAAGCGTTACTAAAGGAAGTATTGCATACAAGATAAAATTATTTTCACTGCAAATTACAAAATCGTTTACGTTTGCGGGAAAATATCTGGTTGAGTTTTTCAATATTTCTGGTGTCAAAAATACATAAAAAGTCACTATTAAACACACAAACAGTACACATGTAAGCTAGAATGTTTATTGCAAAAATATGAAGAAGAAAAAAGTGCATTTAAGTGAATTACACAATATAAAAGGAAACGTGTACTGAATCTCTTTACTGCATGGTGAATGTCCAACACATACCTGGTACTGGGGTAAGCCGTAATATATGTGTAATTCAGGTTTCAGACAGGGTATATAATGTTACATTCCCGGCTTAGGAAATATAAACTCTAAGCCGGGAATGTCACATTATATCCCATGTCTGAAACCAGAATAACATACAATATAAATATATATTATATATGCAAAATAATATTATTAATTATAAATTCATTTTCTCTGCACATTTTGCTTGTGAAATCAAAAACCTCATGCAAAGAGAAGATTTTCTGTCAGTTGGTATAAACTGCATGAAATACAAAAACATCGACATGTTTTTTTTAAAAAGTTTGAGACTTTCCTGAAGATATGGGTCTTTCCTGGCTTCTTCTTGTAGATGGACAATAAACTCCTGTCGGTTTCTCTGTATCTCTGAAGTAGACATTTGCATTATACCATACCTTTTCATGTCTATAATGCAATCGTGTTCTAGCCAATAAACATCCAAAATACTACATATTTCGAGGAAATCGTCTATAGCACTTTTAACATCTTGACATTTGCAAAGGTTATTAGGTTGTTTTTTATAGACTTCTAATTTTAATTTATAATTTTTACTTTTTTTGTCATATTGATCTTCAATTCCAGTCAACATCATATTTATACTAAACCAAGATACTATTCTATTCTCATACTTAAAGTAAAGTCTGGAACTTATTTTATTTTTATCTTCTAGATGTACCAAGAAATTGGTTAACCATTGGTTATGAATGAAATGCTTCCGTCCAAGTTGTTCGAAATAGCGAAACCGAGTACTCACAATTGAATAAAATGATAATTCGCGCAAATATTTTCGTTCTGGCTCATTGAATATATGACGTAATGCTCTTTGATATAAAAACATATGATCATGATCGTCAAACTTCATCCATTTTCTTAAATGTATATATGCTTGTTTTTGTAGTAACTTCAACTGGCGTACTATTAAATTGTTCATGTCTACTAAAGCAGAACAAATATGCATCGTGCCATCAAAATCACAGATCCCAATACTTGATTTTATCTGTAAGTTCTGCATGGAATTTAAAACCAAATAAGTAACTCGAATATAAATGTCCCTAAATAAATGTTTATATAATAGGAAATTATCTTGGTCTCGAACTGCACGCCTACATTTCGAAACTTGTGCTTGTATGAGACCATAATGTTTAAAACTATACTGTAGGCTGCATGTCCAATCAAATACAGTTTGTCTTTTGTTACTGAAAAGCATAAAATAAATCAACAAACTTTCAATTTCCAAGTTTGGTTTGGTTCTGGGAACACCAATGCTAACCATCCATTTCATTACACCTTCTTGTTTGTAAATCTTTGCTAAATAGTAAGGAGTTATCTTGTTAAAATCATAGCAGTTCAATATATCTGAACCAAAAAACAAGGTACATTTCTTCAGGAAACTTATGAAACCCTTGGCTGCTGCTAAATGTACCAGACTCAGATGGCGTTCATTAGGTCTACACAAAAGATTTTCGATTTCTCTTTGTCTTGGTCCTCTAGATGTATATAAATTTTTTAATAAAAACTCAGCCGTTTCATCATATTTCAGAGCCCTACTGAAATCAATAATCAATTCTTCAGTTCTGTTCTCCGAAATGAATTGCAGAACTTGAAATTGAGAATTATTACTATATCGCAAAGCTAGAACACCATTTTCTAGAAAAGGCGCTTTCATAATTGAAATATTTAAAGCTGATTGTGCATGACGCGACACATGTGAAATCGTCATTCTTTTTTTCAGCAAGAATCGTGTTCCTAGCAAATTACCTCCCATTACAGCTCTGTGAAGCAAATTATATCCATCCTTATCAAAACATTTGTCTAACATTTTGCCGGAGTAATCTTTGAGGTATTTGTTTAGAAACTCGTCGTTCTGATACATCGATTGAGTATTTCGATCGTTCATGATAATCTCATGAAGAGGACTAAAGCTTCCATCACATTTGAGAGAATTATCTTTCGTAAAAAAAAAATTGGCAATGTTTGGTCCCTCATATTCTGTAATGAACTGAAGTAATGGCGGATTTTTCTCCACAACATGTTGGAACTGTTGTTTCGCGTACACTTTTAGCATCAAAACCGGGTAAATCCTGGATTTATGAATTGCTATTGAAAGCAGTTCTGAGACATTAAACTGTGCAAACCCTTCTTTTTTATAAAGAAAAATCAGTGTTTTTAAAATACACATCTCGTGATTCGTCAAAATAGTTTCAAATTTTGTTGGACATTTCGTGTGGAAAACATCTTTTATCTCACATCCTTTAGGAATTCGTATAGGGTCATAGGTTTCGTGTTTTCGCATTGCCTGAAATATTTCGTCAACAGGCGTCTTTCCAGTTGTGTCTTTTTGAGTCAAAAGACTCATGACATCATGCCTAGATAAAGTATGAAACGCATTAAGAAATCCAAAGTAATTTCCGGTTTTAGCAGCGTAATGTAGAAAATTTTTTCCATCATTATCAGTATGGAGAAAGTTATGCTTAGAACTGAGACAAACCTTAAATATTCCCAATATAAGTACATCCTCGGTAACACCAGTATGCAGATCATCATCATTTTGTCTCAATGAAAATAGCATGCTGTAATGTAAAATGCTTCTCTGTCTTTTATCATAGCTATCAGGAATATTAAGATGATATACGTCGTTTCTGTTGTGAAAGGAATACAATGCGAAAGACCGGCATATGGCTGCAGAGTGAAACACACTGGAACCATTTACAGTTTCAGCGGAAAAATTGAAATTCAGTTCATTTACATTATTGAAAACTATGAATACATAGTTATAATGACAAAACGCATAATGAAGTGGCGTTGCTTGATCAGCATCTCGTTGTTCCCAGTCAACAAATCCATTATTATGCATGAATAACATCATATCAAAATTACCATGCATTGCTATGATGTGAGCGACACTTGCTCCAACGGGACACTGTTCAGCAGTTAATAATACTAATTCTGATAGATCTAACTTAGATCTCAGTAAAAGGAAATCAAAGGCATGAATACATTTTTGTGATACATTGGCACCATTTAAATATAAATGGCAAAAAATTTCCGTACGATTATACCTCACGGCTGTCATTAATGGCGTTTTCCCGTCATAAATATTACACTTTATTGTACTGGATGATTCTTGTAAAAGAATCTGAACTATTTCAAGATGATCATTCCGTATAGCAGTATTCAAGGCCGTTTCGCATGTAATTAATCGCCAATCGTCATAAAAGAATGTTTTCATATAAAAATCTTGATCGAATGTTAATCCTGATCTAATCTTATCAATCTTTATTGTTTGTTGTTGTCTGTTGGACAGTAGTGGTATCCAGTAAAACGTACCATTGCATGGTAAACATACACCCTTTGATCCGGTATCAAGCAACACATTCAAAATCTGTGCATGACCTTTTTCACTTGCCTTGTATAAAGAGTGAGTGTCTGCAAAACTCTTGTTGTAGTCTGGTAAAAGCTTCACTATATCCAAATGACCATTTTCTACCGCAAGATGAAAAGCATTTAGGTGCATATCATTTTCTGAGTAGACGAGATTTTTATATTGCCGTAGAATTATTTCAGCAACATATTTATGTCCATTTTGGGCAGCAATATGAAAGACAGTATAACCGCAAAAGTATATATATTTACACAATTCAACTATATTATGATTAAAGCTAACGTGAGAGTAAAGCTGCAAATCCTGATCTCTAACATAATATGAATCTTCTATCGATGAATAGTTGTAAACAACGGAAAATGAAGTGTTTGCGCCATTGTTTAATAAACATTTTAAGGTCTCCTCATTTCCCTGGCTAGCTGCTATAAACGCTGGGGACTGGTTCATTGTGTTAACTGTATTTATTGCAGCAACACCAATGTATTTAAGTAACAGTTCCGTCGTATTGTAATCATTATATTTCCAGACAACTTGATAGAGAAGCTGTAAGTGTAACTTTTTATCCTTACTCAATAAATCTCTGACGTACCCAGACAACATAGATTCGTACTTGGCATTTTTGCACATTGCAACATGATGTATGATCTCTATCAAATTATTTTTTGACGTCAAATTCATTTTTAATTTTCCAAGCAAATATTTCGCGAACAACTTGTGACCATTTTCTTTATGAACAAAAAAATGCAGTTTGTTTCTACTTTCGTCGGTTAAAAAGTCAATAATAGATTTGTGAAAAAACGACATTTTTCCATCCTCAAATTTAAGAAAATGTCCCAATTCATTTCCCAGTAGCGTTTCCAGTTGCCTTATTTTACTGTTATCCTCAATTTGTGATACTTCTATAAGCTGATCCTTGTTGGTAGGATTTTGAATAGTGCATAACACTTCAAATACCGGTAAGAAATCATAAAACAAGCTCTCTGAATCTTTAAAAATTCTGTTGAAATTTAATTGATATAACAGTGCAAGAGAGTTTGGTACATTCCTAAAGTCAAACGTATCTGTTTTCTTGCAGTACTGTAAATATAGTTTAACATGAAGAAAATTTCCATCAGCAGCTCCAGTCAGTTTTGAAATATAAGGTTCAGTAAGCTTACTTGTCTTGCGGACGTATTGTTTGACATCATTTAAATTAAATGGGTCCGATGTATTTAAATAAACTTGTCTTACCTTTTCTAGGAACCGAAAATTTCTGTTAATATTTTCAATGTTTCTTGAAGTCAGAATAAATTTAAAATTAGAGGGAAATCTTTGGACTTGAGTCAAAAGAAAATAAAACAAGGTATTTCTACCGGCAGTATCGCATTCATCCAAAGCATCAATCAGGATTATAAAGTTCTGATTTATCCAATGATCGCGCAATGGATTTAAAATAGACATTTCAAAACATGATATTGGGTCTTTATAACATCGCGTCCCGTATAAAAAATCAGAAGCAACATCATCAGCTAGGATGGCATTTCCCATTTCTGGATAGAGTTTGACGATTGCACTTGCAAGATTTCGAATGAACGTGCCTGCAGTGACGGTCATGTCCATATCATATCTACAAAAATGATAAGCTAGAATTTGTTTCCGAAAGTCATACCACACCGATGACCTATCGGCACACACTATATTAGATATTATGGAGGACTTCCCATATCCCATATTTGCTGTCAATAAGACTCCGTTTGCCTCTAGTAATTGTTTATCAACAATATCCCTTAGCCAGCGTCTTTCTATAAAGCTTTCATTATTCAATCTTTGGACATAGAGATCGAAGTCTAGATCACTTTTCCAGTGTTCTGAGAATCGCATACTATAACAACCTACAATTTAAATAAACAAACATTAATCAAATACCACAAAACAAGGTATTGTCTTTCCACCTCCGTCTTACAGATCTGATTATTAAATTTTAAATAAACTTTACTAACGGTGATATGCAGATTTTTTTATATTAGGAGGAGAAAAAAGTTTAACTTCCCGTTGAAAAAATCACATCACAGATACTTTATCTTGCACTGATTCAAAAAAAAAAATTGTAGTACTTTTCTATGAAATAAAACAATGAACAATTTCTTTTTACCGTTAATTCACTTGTGCAGTGTCAAATTATAGCTTGTTCAATTAAGGTGACAGTAGTTAACCGATGCTTAAATCTCGTAAATCGAGTAAAAATAGATAAATCAATGAGGGAATCGCATGAACTCCAAAGGGAGTAAAGCCGGAAAGTCGACAGGGTAAGCGTATCATCCTATGCAAGCATTACCCGCCATGCGAATCCACACTTAGCAAAATGTCACAATCGGGAATAGTACACAATCGGTTAAATTACAGATCAGACGACTATACTTGTAACATGTCGCTAGTGAGTTGAGGCACCGACACCTCGTATCGGTCAACCAATTCTGATTCTAACACTGATTTTAAAAGTAAATGGCTTCTATGCACGTTTTCCTCGAATAAGGGAGATCATTTACTTCTTCCGATTGTCTGACGGTTCCATATGTTTATTTTCAACCATTCCAAAAAATATGTGATAGCTAGGCACTATACTCTGAAATAAGGTAGAAATTAAGCTACTTCCAGAATACCGTAGGTCAATAGCTGTTGTAGCTGATTACTTATTTTGAGGTGATTCCAAATAAAGGTATTTATTCATGAAAGCCTGTAAAAAAAGCCCCATCTTTTTCACTCAAGGTCACTCTCGGTGGATTTTTATTCGAAAACCTAATGCAAAAGGCCCGATGTGTACCAATATGAAGAATATAGCCAATATATAATAAATTCAAAATTTCATCGGATTAGTTTGAACCCAAGGCATTTAACTTGACCATGTTCCAAACATTTTGCTTAATTTCGGTTTTTTGTGTGTCCATGTCTTACAGTTTCAGTGGAGCAACGATAACGAACAAAGGTAAAAAAAAATCTAAACGTTTAATTAACCTTTTACCTTGACCAAAAGTTAAAGTTCATAACGAAAGAATCCCAAAAGACTTATGAGTATACGAGTCATATTACCATTCAACTTTTTCAAACATTTAAGGGGAGAAAACCCCTTAGAAATGTCATCGCTTGTGCAATTTCGAATTAAATGTATTGAAGTTACCACATGTCGCCAATAAAATTTTTGTCAATGTTTAACCCGGACACATTCTGCATGTGGCTGTCCCAAGTCAGGAGCCTGCAATTCAGTCGATATGTCGTATGTTGCTGTAGTATATAACACATTTGTATTCGTTTATTGTTTTGTTCATAAATTAGGCCGTTAGTTTTCCCATTTGAATTGTTTTGCGTTTGTCAGGTCGGAGCCTTTTACAGCTTGCTATGCGGTATGGGTTTTGCTCATTGTTGAAGGCCGTACAGTAATCTATAGTTGTTAGCATCTATGACTCATTTAATCTTTTGTAGAAGTCGCCACATCTTCTTATTTCTATATGAGGACATTCTTTATGAAAATAATTCTACTGCCATGGGAGTCAAGCTGAGTACTGTCTTTCGGATGCAAATTATTTTTTCTTGATTAAAGAAATCATTTGTTGTAACATTGAAATCAACAATAACATGTAAAATTTGTAATCTTGTATCAAAGTTGCTTCAACGATATGCAGCGCTGAATAAAATTTAGATTTTATTGAAAATATTGAAAATTATCGTTGAAACATATTGTTAAATTTTTTTTTATTGACTATTGAATATTCAAGGTAAAGAAAAACAACCTTACCAATCAATACCTGTGGAACGAATTTAAATCTGTATGCACAACTACCATCAACAAACATGTACCATCAAAACACACATCGACTAGATACAGCGAGCCTTGATGCAACCGTAACATCAAAAAGCATAGTAGGAAAAAGAGGAGATATCATAAGAAGGCAAATCAATCCAACGCAAAAGCAGACTGGGGTCGATACCGTAGAGTCCAAAAAGAAAGTAAAGACGCATGCAGGACATCCTACAACAACTAAATCAGTAACATGATATCAGACGATAAAACTAACAAGAAATTCTATTCATGTTTGAGAAGCAAAAATCTGACAACTCTGGTATTGTCCAACTACGTGACGAGGGCACATTACATTCAACACCATCAGAAAAAGCGGAAATACTGAACCGCCAGTTATCATCAGTCTTCAACTCCGAGAACCCAAACAGTATGCCAAACCTTGGGGAATCACCACACAGCCAAACACCATACATTAAGATCACAGAGAATGGTGTACTGAAATTGCTGAAAAGCTTTAATCCTCACAAAGCTAGTGGACCAGACAAGATATCAACAAAGTTCCTTAAGACTACGGCGGCAGTGATCACTCCAACGTTAACAATGCTGTTCCAGACATCAATTGATAAAGGGACCGTCCCAGATGACTGGAAGCTAACATTCATCATTTTAATATTTAAAAAAGGAGATAAAGCAAAACCATCCAACTATCGTCCTGTATCACTGACATCAGTTTGCTGTAAGGTTGTAGAGCACATAACAGTCAAATCATCAGTCACCTAGAGGCTAATAACATACTAGCCGATGAACAGCACGGTTTCCGGAAAAGGCGACCATGCGAGAGCCAGCTCATCAACACGATCGATGATCTCGCCAAGGGACTGAATTCAAAACATCAGATAGATGACATCCTGCATGATTTCAGTAAGGCCTTCGACAAAGTCCCCCATGAGAGACTTGTTATGAAACTGCACTACAACGGCGTGAGAGGCAATACACTGCAGTGAATTCAGAGCTTCCTTGCAGACAGACAACAGCAAGTAGTGGTCGATGGCGTGTCATCTAAGCCAGCTCCTGTAACATCTGGAGTGCCACAGGGAACAGTCTTGGGCCATAGCTATTTCTTGTCTACATAAATGACCTTCCATCAAAAGTCCAGCCTAGAACTTGATTATTTGCAGACGATTGCCTCATGTATAGATCTATCGACAGCCAAGAAGATGTCAAGATATTACAACAAGATCTTGATCAACTGCAACAGTGGGAGAAAGACTGGACGATGGGCTTCAACCCGGAAAAATGTGAAGTCATCCGCATAACCAACAAGCGGAAAATAACTAGCGCCGACTATTCCATCCATGGCCATGTTTTACAACTGACAGACCGGGCGAAATATTTGGGCGTTACAATTGACAGTAAGATCACTTGGGATCTACATATCAGCAACATCACGAAAAAGGCAAACAACACCTTGGGATTCTTGAGAAGAAATATAAACAGCTGCCCAAAAATCATCAAGGAAACAAGCTACAAGACCCGTGTCCGCCAACAGATTGAATATGCGTCCACTGTCTGGGACCATTCAACCAAACAACATACCACAGCCATCGAATCTATACAGCGACGTGCAGCCAGATTCATCATGAGTGACTTCAGGAGAAATAGCAGTGTAACATCAATACTCCAATAACTACATCTAGAAAGCCTGCATTCACGAAGATATAAGGCCCGCTGCACCATGATATTTCGAGTCATCAACCAACTGAATGAAATACCATCAATATCGCTACAGCCGCTTCACCTAGCAACCAGGGGACACACACAGAAGTTGCATCAAGTAGCTTGCTCCACCAGAAACTACCAGGACTCATTCTTCCCCGCTGGTAAAGTCCTTTGGAACTCCCTGCCACAGGCCATGGTCGCGGCTGATTCTCTTGACTCCTTCAAGGAGAGAATCAGCAAGTACAGTTTCTAAAGACCAACTTGATTTATCCTACTTTTAACCTCTCTCACACGACTCCGATTTTTACTGTATATAGTCCATTTGTGCGATAATTCGCCAGAGGAGCCCGACACAGTAAAGAAAGAAGAAGACGGTCCTATGGGTTTTGACAACTTTCATACTGATTGACCCCGTAAGTGAAACAGTTACAGGGGAAATTAACATTATCCAAATTTATTCCTACATATATTATGACACATTTTTCAATGTAATTGTAGTTTAGGAACTCAGTGAAATAATAGATAAATAAAATTTCTGGCGAAACGGGAAGAAACGAGTCAATTGTAAGAAGCAATTCAAAAAGATTGAATATTAGCTGCCGCACATTTTGACGGCATGATATCTGTGACAAACATAACCAATAAAAGCTTGTATGCTAGGAATTTGTTCGAATAATCATGATATAAAAAATCTTTAATCTGATGTATGTTATATATAAGGGGAATACCTTCATTCGATGAATCCATCTTCTTTAGCGAGATAAATGAAATAAAAATGTAAATTAAAAGTAAGAAAAGACTTAAACATTTTAGAACATTCCTCGTCTGTTGTGAAATAAGGTTTTTAGTTACTCTTTTCGGTTTAATTGTTGATTCCAGTATCATATTGTTGATTCTGTCTTTGAATGTGTCTTTTGCAGAAGCAAACGCTACTATCTGTAAATCAATACAAGGTGAAAGTTGCTCAAAACTATCTCTTACTAAAATCAGTGTATCGTGTCCGGCTTGATGTTGTAAGAGACCGGTAGGAATTCCTTCCGATAAAACAAGTTCTTTCAACAGACTTACAGCAAATTTTGCACTTTCTTTTCAAAATATATTCGGGACTTTTAAAATCCTTATAAAGCTCTGTAAGCACAGCTTTTTCTCCGTTTCGTCTAAACTAACCCTATAATTATGAGCAAAGCTGTCGTTTCTGTGTCGTTGAATATCTACCAATATTTGGTTATCGATCGAAAAGGTTTTCATATTCACAAACAAAGATATAATCGCACCAATATCTTGATAAATCCCTTGTCTGAACTTGTGAACGTCGCAAACAAAAACTTTTGATATAGCTTCATATGAATCTGGTGTAGAGTGCGGAAAGTCTATGGTATTAATTCCCTTCCAGTTGATTTTGTCCCATTGTTTCGTATATCGACAAAGTTTATGAAGTTCGTCTTTCCATAATTTGCAGATGTTGCACCACTGACTGAAACCATTTCCGTATTTTCTACTACAGTTTATATTACAAAAGCCTACAGGCATTTGTTGTAAAATGTTTTGATGTGTTGTTTCCATAGTGTCCAGTATAAAGTCTTGTAATCCAGATACACAAAATTTTAAACCAAGAGCAACTGATATAAAATTATCTAATTTGTTCTGATCGATAGCTGCCATTATTGTTGTTCTAAACTGGTATATCTTACATGTTCTCGAAATTACAGAGTACCCAGGTACATTTTTTAAACATATAACTTCCTTGTTCTACGCTTAATGGATATGGGTATAGAAATCAATAAGTATTACCTTTTTTCAAAAGCTTGACTTCGACATAGATATCTAATCTTAAAATGTGTTACACAAAAGTTTTGAAATGATATGAGTTGAAGGAGATGGAGAGTGAGTTAACATCAATGAGACCGGAATCCAACGACAACTCACCCTTCCCCCCCCAAAAAAAAATGATACTAATTTAACAAACATAAAATAGTATAGGGACAGTGCTGAAATATCACAAAACTAGTTTAATGAGATAATTGTTTATGATAATATCTTCTTTCTTCAGACTAGTAATTATATCTTACTTCATGGTATCCGTTATTATACTTATATGAGGGTCTGGATGGGGTTTACAGAAGAGAGAATAATGGGCCAAATGTACGGAAAAATAGAAGAAAAAATAAATAGGGAAAAATAAAACAAACAATAAGGAATAGAGAAAAATTACCTAAAAAATTACAGAAATGAAGGCCCCCCATCTAGACCCTCTTATAACATTATAGGCCACCTACCTTCATGTATACATGAAGTTTGTTCATTCTTATTAGTGGTCTTTTGCCCCATGGAAATTTACCCAATATCAATGTTTTGATAAGCAAGCAAACCTTTAACCATTACTGCCTTCAGCCAACGTTAAACTCCTACTACAACTCCGTCAGTCAGAAAATATGGCCAATAAAAACATGTAGAGCTGAACATACACATACATAAAAATAAGGAGATGTGGTATGATTGCCAATGAGACATTATCCACTCAGGACATGACAACAAAGGACGCAATTAAATTGACAAAACAAATATGTATATAGATAGGACAAAACATGGACACAAATTTTACAATTTGTGACGGCTATGATGCAATATAGGATAGAGTATGGATTTGATAAAAGGATACAGATTTGTGACTGGACAAAGATTTGACTCTTACATATTTTTTTTTGCATTCAATGTATATTTTTACTTAGTCTAAAATAGGCCAACGGTGTCAGATCTGCAAATTTGAAGTTTCAAATTTTAGTCCTTCCTTAATTGACACTCGATTCTAAGATACCGCATTGTGTCCACTGAACCCCTTAAACCACTTTACAAACTAGCATTCGTTAGTCGAGTGATATACGTTATATCTCTCTTCGTCGTCTTCATCTCGGGTTGGAGCACAGTATACATAATGTATGGTGGCATTTAGATAAAATACCTGGCTAATCAGATGATCTCTTTTTAATGTTGTAAAAGATGATAATACAAACCATGCAGTTACAACATTAAAACAAGATATTTGTATCAACGTTAGACATTTGTTTTATTGACACATATTGGACTAATAATTTCAATATGTATTTTTAAAACATCAGAACAGGGAAATATATAGCGTTGTTTGTAAGGACAATTAGGTAATGTTGGGGTCAGTTCGGTTGAGGAAGATCTAGGTCTTCGTCTTTGGTTGAAATTGAAGGACCGAAGAACAGACCTATGATTGTTTATGATGTTTTGTTTGTATGTGATGTGGGAGTATATGTTGAGTTTCCAAATATTCGGTAAAAAAGAGAACACAGTCAGAATACAAATCAAAATACTTTTTAATTCAACAGGAGGCAAGTAACAAATAAACTGTGAGGCGGAACAGGCTGGATTGGTATGAATTTTTGTCCCCCGCACAGGCTGTTTATATTATATAACTGGTTAAACGAGGTCTGACCGTCATGAATGTATACTTATTATATGATGGTGTATAAGGTGAATTATATATTTATATATATAGCAATATTAAATGACTGAATAATAGCCAACGATAAATCTTACGGGGCGATGGATCATAAAATTATGATACAGTACACTACAAAATATCATATATAACAAGTCTAAAAGGGTACATCACCAAAAAATGATTAAAACATGAACAAATTTTAGATATTTCGGATAACTAATATCCTTTATCGGTAAGATATAAAATGAATCTTATCTTGACATGTGGTAGTCAAACTGAAATAAAAATCTTGAATACTATACAAATTGTCAATAATCAATACGCTGGTAATTTTTTTTCAATATTGATGTTTGGGAGGAGGAATAAATTTTCTTAAAACTGTAAGAATCCAAAACGGAAGCCTGAGTTACTGGAAAAAAGTGATGGTAGGGAAAATGAGTGACACATTCTATGTTTTTTTTTCATTTATGCCCTCTGAGGAAACTGTCCTCAGCTTTCTTATCCAAAACCTTTCCCGAGCAAAATATAGTGTGTTTTTCAATGATGTAAATCATTGCATTAAATTACTATGCTCGTCACGACCCCTTTGATTAAAATAAAAGTATCTTTTCTTTGGACTCGGGTATTTTTGAACGAGTTCCTACCGTATAATGACCCAGCAAAGATGTAAATTATTTTCTTCTCTCACTGGCCATTGAGTTTTCTATATCCTAATATTTTATCAGTTTTAGGTGTTTTGATTCACTCTTCTGAATTATCTCATCGTTTCGGAACTATCCGATGACTGAAACGGAAAAATTACTTTGACATTGGGTGTTTGGTTACATAACTGATTTAATGTCCCTTTATAAAAACAACACGGTGTTGAGGAAACATCTTGAAGGTTTCAACAGACGAAGAAATGGATGATGAACGATTGAAATAAATTCATAAAACACATTTAAAGCTAATTTAAATAATTGATGAGATTTTGTACATTATAGTAACGGTCCATTTCTGTAATGAGTCATGCATATATTACCCAATTCTTGTATTTTCCACAGTTATTCTTTATACTTTTGCACCCCATTAATCTCTATTCTTTATTTTTTGCTCATTTTTCTCAAGTCATCTGTTATATTGGTAAAAATTTGTCATGGTCAAATCAACTTGATAAAATATTTAAAATTATTTCAAGCAGAATATACCTGTTAAAAAGTTGAAACTTTATTTACCGTTGAAGGGTCTCATCTTCTTCTTTTTTTTACAATAGCTATATATTACCAGAAGTCCATTAATAGGGCTCTGGTAATGGACTTCTGATATTACCCATTATTGACTACTGTTGTACAGTATGGGATCTTACCACAAACTGTAATCTGGAAAGGATTCATAAGTTCAAAAACCTGCTGCAATATTAATTTTATCTGTTTCTTTTGATTTTTCATCAGTCAACTCAGATACACATATGTGTATATATGTCTCTGGTCAACTTTAATGTTTAAAGAGCTTAAATGGATGACTATATTTACGAGGATACAGTATTTCTGTCTTAATGTTTAAATTTATGAATGGTCTAACACCTGATTATCTATCTAATGAATTTACTGCTTGTACTGATTTAGATTTATCCGAATGGACGTTGTATAGCAGCACGAAGATTTTGCACAGATCACAGATCCAAATACGGAGAGTTTCTAAGTCTTTATTTGCACTTGCATCCTCACAATTTAATATTATAGGTCACTATACCTTGTTTTAACTAATAACTTCAGGCATTTTTGTAAATTGCACGGTGTTTCCAGCTTACTTTTCTTGCAGGCCTTGCCGGACGGCCATTTAATTTCCAGCGCCATATTTGAATTTTGACAAATAAAATTTTATTTTTTCAGACAGTAAGTCTAAGTCTTTTTGTGACTTATAAATAATTAAAATAAATAACTCAGACATCTATTTCGAACAGTTAAATAATTTTTTCCATTCTAGTTAAGTTTAAATTTTTGACCACATAGTCTGTAGTCTAGACCCCCCTTCTCTTATTTTATTTTCTTATTAAATTTATTTATCGCATATATATATAGTTTAATCAAACCTTTTAAACACACTGTACTTGTGTTTCAACCAATAGCCTGTGTCTGAAAGATAAAAGAAAATTTAGTCCTCTGTTCCCACAAAGATTGATATATGTCTGAGACTAAAGTTGTAAAGTCAAGCAGATACTTCAGAGTAAATAAGAGAGATATTCAGGATAAAACAGCCCAAGGCCAACCCATAATTATATCTGATAGTAAAGGTAACTACATAAAGAGAGCTATTACAACTGAAGACTTCCTAAATATAAAATTTATCACAAAAAAAGGACAAAAAGTACAGCAAACAATTGATTGGGCCGAAAAAGAATTACCATCTATCTGTCATCAACACAAAAACATCACATTTTATATTTGGCTAGGAATCTGTAATTTAACCGAACTTAACAAAACTACCAGATACATCTCTCTTGTAAACCAAAACGATTCAAACGTCCGATATCTAAGAAGAAAATTTATTGAACTTAAGGCTGTCATCACCAAAATAAAACCAAAATCAGAAATCATCTTCTTAGAAGTACCGCCATACTCCATTCAGTGGTGGAACAGATCACAAGGCCACAAAAACCCGGACATTTTCAGTGAAGACGATCAAACACTTCATAACCAGTTATATCAATTAAACACCACCATCCAAGAAATAAACCAATCTGCAGAAAAATCACCAAAATTTGATCTAGACATTCGAAAAACATCTAAAAGAAAAGGCGGTACTGACGAATACTACAACTTTAATCTATACAAAGCTGACGGTGTACATCCAAACTCTTTATTAGCAAAGCTCTGGATGAGAAGAATAGCGACCAAAATTCTCCACCAATGTTATAG